GACGTATAGGGCATGGCACACATCAAACCCGCCATCAAACATCAAGTTTGTTTTCTGTCTCCTGCTCTCAATTATGCAGGATAGTTCGACATGTTCGATGTCTCTTACTAACCGCTCATCGTTGCAGCTTTTTAAATACCCAGAACAGCAGGTTGAATCACACTTTCGGGGACAGGACGCTCTCCAAAATACTGTCGGTTTGACCGTTTTACCATGTTCTACCCATCTCTTCTGTGGCTTTGTAATCGATCTGTCCAATTGAAGGAGAGGCTTCAAGCCTGACGCCGGTGGGGTTGTGCATTTCAACCTTCAGCCCCCACTCCATGGGGGTCATGTGGCTGTGGGTCATGGCACCAGGATATCTTCGACCTACCTGGTGTCGGTCGTTCGCTACATGGTGGACGACCGTCGGGTGAACACGGTTTAAACATGTTTAAACGACCCATCCCCATGTGACTCGGATTGGATGGTGTGACAGAGCTTTTCATCGACCAGTCATAGGATGGTTGTGATCTGTGCGGTTCATGATGCGATGAGCGGAGGACTACACGATCACCCCAGGAAAGCTCCATATCGCGAGTCACGTACGGACACACAAGTCACGTACGGAAGACCTTACGGAGGCGAAAAGTGGCAAGTGCTTTTGTTCACCGAATGACTCTTCGCATGGGTGTGTCGTTTTTCTCTCGGATGAAAAGAAAATCACTTGAAAGCACATTCACTAAGTGTTTTCATGACTCAATACGCCCAGTGGGTATTTTCTGGTACTCCTATTTGGGGTGTTCACATGGGCGGCCCACCTTCAGCCGGTAGACCCCGGTGTCCGTCTCTTCAGCCGATGCCATGCAGTTTGGTCGTTGGCCGTCGACTATACGGTATGTTTGAACGCGTGCATACTGTATTTCTGGAAGGATTGATTATGAAGCAACGCGTGAAAACCTCAAAGGATGCCAAAGACCTTGCGGCCTTCATTGGACCATTTTGGTCAAGTTCTCACTGAGCAGTGGATAGCTGCCTCACCCTTTCCCAAACACCCAGCAGCTTTTGATCATGGGGTATGCGATCGCCACCAAGAACACTTTGGGGTGTACTGGCCTCAGGTATTTTACTTTTTACGACTAGTATCGATTCAGAAGAGAAAACTCGAACAACTCTTTGTCTTGAATAGGAGAACGCTTCATGTTCAAGTCCGCTGTGCGGCAACTAGCACCGGGAGATGCGACCAGCACCAAGAACGAACGACATCTAGATCGAGGTGGGCGCGACATCTCTCGACGCGGCTAAGACATGCGGCTTGAAGCCATTGGAAATGCTCCAATTGACGTTCTCAGGGGTGGTTCTCAGGGTTCACCCTCTTGCTGTTTTACAGAGGCTTGCTAAGCATGTTAGTGACCTTGTACATGCTGGTTCAATAAATGTGTTGTAGCGACCTACTTCTAACTTGTAGGAGTTTTCTTGGCATGCTTCAGGGTCACCAGATCATGTATGTATGCATGTCATGTATTGTATTGTATTGCATTGCATTGCATTGTATTGTATTGTATGTCATGTATTGTATTGCATTGTATTGTATTGTTATGTTAAGTTATGTCATGTCATGTTATGTTATGTTACGTAGTGTATGTAATGTATCTAAAGTAAGTAATGTAAGTAATGTATGTATGAATGTATGTTATGTTATGGTATGGTATGGTATTGTATGGTATGTATGTATGTATGTATGTATGTATGTAATTAATTTATGCATGTATGTATGTATGTAATGATGTAATATAATGTAATGCAAAGTAGGTGTGTATGTGTATGGACGTATGTATGTATGTATGTGTGTGTGTATGTAGTGTATGTACGTATGTTATGTTATGTTATGTTATTGTTTGTAATGTAATGTAATGTAATGTAATGTAATGGTATGTATGTATGTAGTAAACTAATGTAAAGTAAGTAAAGCAATGTACTGTAATGTAAAAGTAATGTATGTGTGTATTTATGTACGTATGTATGTACGTATGTGTGTATGTATGTATGCATGCGTGGATGTATGTATGCATGGATGTATGTATGTATTAATGTATGTAATGTATGTAGTGTATGTAATGTATTGTATTTTACAATGTACTGTAATGTAGTTTAATGTAATGTATGTATGTATGTACGTACGTATGTATTAATGTAATGTAATGTAGTGTAGTGTAATGTAATGTAATTTAATGTAATGTAATGTATGTATGTATGTATTAATGCAGTGTATGTATGTATGTATGTCATGTCATGTCATGTCATGTAATGTAAGTTTTTTTTCTATGGATGCATGTATATTTGTATTAATGTACTGTAATGTAATGTAAGGTATGTTTGTATGTATGTATGTGTGTATATATGTAGGTATGTGTGTCTATATATGTTTGCATGTATGTATGTATGTGTGTATGTATGCTATGTATTGTGATGTAATGTAAGGTAATGTAATGTATTGTATGTTGTCAAATGTAATGTAATGTATGTATGTATGTATGCATGTATTTGAGTTATGTTATGTGATGTTAGTATGTTAGTATGTATGTATGCATGTATGTATGTATGTATATCTTTGTATATCTTTGTATATATCTATGTTCATGTATGTATATGTATATGTATATGTTTGTTTATGTGTATGTGTATGTGTGTGTATGTATGTATGTGTGTATTTATGCGATTTATGTATATATTAATGTAATGTATGCATGTATGTAATGTAATGTAAATGTAAGTATGTATGTATGTGTGTATGAATGTATCTTGGTGTAATGTAATGTATGTATGTATGTATGTATTTATGTTATGTTATTTCATGTTAGTATTTATGTATGTATGTATGTTTGTATGTATGTATATCTTTGAATATATGTATGCTCATGTATGTATATGTATGTATATGCATGTAAATGTATGTATATGTATATGTTTCTGTATGTTTATATGTACGTGTATGTGTATATGCATGTGTATGTGTGTGTATGTATGTATGTATGTATGTATGTATGTATGTATGTATGTATGT